CCCCAAAACCCCAAAACCCCAAAACCCCAAAACCCCAGGGATTGTTGGTGAGATTGAAATTTTGGAGGCAGATTATGGATTGAAGAGGGTGGTGGGGTTAGGGAGGAATGGAGGGGGTCGAGGTTAGGGACTCGATTTTGGCCTCGAGTTTGGTGTTTAGTGAGTGCAGTTTGAAGTAATCGACTTCTAATCTTTCTTTTACAATAGTGAGAATTGATATCTTTTCATTAGAGTCATTTTTAATTTGCTCTAGTTCTGCTTTGAGTTGTGAATATTTTTTATTTGCTTCTTTAATTGAACTCTTATATTTATAAGCAACATCGGTAGTTTCATCACATTGTATCTCTTTTTGATTAGTCAATGAAAAATCAGCTTTTAAAACCTAGAAATATTTACTTTTAATCAATAAGTAGCATACTTGTTTTTCTTCTTCAAGCTCTTCCCTAATTCTATACAAATGATCTAGTGAATTACTTATCAAAATAGCCATCCTAAACTTAACAAGATAAAGCTTACTGTCAAATTTTTACTGACGATTTCTTGTTCAGCTTCAGATATAGCTAAAGATGAAGTGTGAAGCTTGCCTATTGTGATGGTTCTTCCTTTCATTAGTTTCTTCTTTACACTTATGTACTTTAAGAGAACCTAACATTTAAATCTTGAGTTTACAGAAATGAACATTTTCCAAACAACCTTTAGTCCACTTTGAGCAACATGGAAAGTAGGAATCACAGTAGAGGCTAAACAATTAGTTCTTTATTACCAAAATCATGCTCAACAATCTTATCCAGCGTGGAGAGTAAACATTTCTTCAGATAAAACTTTATTGGGCCTTTGTCTGAAGGGACTATTGTTCCAATTATTTTCTTAAACTTTAAATTACTACAAGGAAGCACTATTGATGACCCAATAGGAAGCTTCCCTTGAGTAGCTAGATAATTAGTTCAGGCTGCTTCAAGCTCGAGTCCAGATTTAGAACGAATATTTTGGTAGACCTTTTCTTGAGCATAAATGTTTAATTTTTCATTTAAAGGTATTGAAATTGCATCTGATGTAAAACTTCCAAGATCATTCTTTCTGATAAAATTTATTTTTCATCCTTCTAAACCGAATTCGTGAATACATTTTGAACTTAAAATTGAAACTAGATGCTATTTAAAATACAAGTCAATTGGTAAAAAATAAACCTCGAGACAGGAACAAAGTAAGAATTATCACCTAATTTTTTATAGGTCAAGTTAAGGTCTTTTGTAGAATGAGGATCAATGAAAGAAGACCAATTATATTCAATACTTGTGATTTTGACCGGCTACTTAGGATTATTAAAATTACCCTACATCAAGTTTGAAGAACTCTACAGAAGCAGGATATGATGCAGATCTCATAAGAATAGTTTTAAAGGATCCAGAACCAAGATGCCATGCTAGTGAATCTATAATCTTTATAGAAAAAGTATACTCCAAAGATTTAAGAAAGGCATTATTAGACGTGAGATGAAGAAATCCCATATAAAGAAATATTTCAATGACTTAAGATAGAGAAAGGCATATTTTATCAAGGAGCAATATAGAGAAGGATTCATAAAAATTTTATAAGAATAGATACTTACGAGAAAATCAAAAATGATTGTTAGAGAAGATATTTAAGTCTCCAGTAGTTCTCCCTCTTAATATAATTGTATTTGCATAAGCAATATTCATCTCTCTTGTTTCACATTCCAATAACTCACTTTGATTAAGTTTTTCTAAAAATTGTTAGAAACAATCTTACCATTTACATGGTTGATAACAAATTTCAAGGCACTAAGCTTATTCTTCAAAATGTCAATATCAATCTCTATTTTTTCTTTCTCTTGCTGCACTATTGTCTTAATATCCTTATTATGATTCTGAATTTTTATATTTACATCATGGATTAGGTCTTCCTGAGTAGTAATCTCTTCTTTTATTTTATTTAACTCATTCTTGTTTTGTAATAAAAAGTGTTCGTATCCTTGCTCTATTAGAGGATATTTGTCTTTAAGAGTGTTTAGTTCTTCCTTTACTTCTTCAGAAAGATATAGTAAGTCTTTTGAGGAATTTTGAATGTCATCTATAAATAATTCTAGTAAATTACCTTTTGACTTCTCATTTATTTCTTGAATTGTATTCTTCAAAGAGTAAATAAATTTGACATTTTGTAGGTTTAGATTGACATTATTTTTCCATCTTTGGTCTATTTCTTGATTATAGCTTTCAATTTTGCTTTCTAAATTCCTAAAATAGCTATACTTTACCTGTTTCACTCCTAAATTCATTCGCTATTCTTTTATTCTCAGAAATAATATATTCAAAACCTTCACATAAGCTGTTATTTTCCTCTCCAATATTTCTGACAAAACCCTCAAAGCAGAGCCTCATCTTATTAAACTCAGCTGTATCTGTTTTGTCTTTGTCCAAAAGCTCGTCGAAAGACTCTTTTAACTTCAGATGTTCTACTCTAAGCTTTGAATAAGCTTCTATATCTTCTTCTCTCTTTAGTTTAGTATTTTCTAGTCGACGAATAACTTCTCTTGTCCTTTTCTTAAGGTCAGTATATTTTTGTTCTTGGGCAGATAATGTTTCTGTGAAGTTCTTAGAAATTTTGGAGTATTTTAGATAAGAGGAAGAGGAATTTTCTAAGGTTTCTGAGTATTTGTTAAGTTTATCTTTTAGTTGAGCTATTCTTTCATATAGTTTATCAATTTCCTTTTGGGATTTATCTTTTTCCTTCTTTGATTCATTCAAGGTGTTTGTATTTATAGTTTTCTGATCTTCAAGATCTTTTTGAATTGTTTGTTTTTCCTGATTTAGTTCTTTGATATCATCGTTTAGTTTCTTAATTATATTTAGCTGCTCTCCAATGTTTTTCGTTTTCTCTATTATTTCTGTTTTCATTTCTTCTATTTTCTGATTCAATCCATTAATATTTCGCTCGTTCAAATGCTGTTCTTCTAATTGTTTCTCCTTTATAGCTTTCTCTTCATCTAACTCCTCTGTCAATTTTTGAATTATTTCTTGAAATCCTTTCTCTTTCTCTTCAAATTTCTTTAGTTCTTCAAAGTAATCCTCGGTAATTTCTTCAATCTCGATATTTTGCTTCAATTCTTCGTCAGTTCTTTGGTCTTTATTAGATGCCAAATTTTTCAAATTTACAGGTTTGCTAGATAAACTGTGTACCTCAATCGCCCTAATTAAGACGTGATTTAAAATCTTCAAAGATCAAACATTATTATGTAGAAAAGAAATTTTAGGATGATCAATGTGAGCATCATCAAAATAAGCTATATGACAGCAACTGTAGAGAGGTGAACTAATAATAACTCTCTATAAATTGAATACTCTAAGTATCTATCTTGATAAACTTACAATTTAGGACCTTCTGGTACAGAACCATCATGATTTTCTGAAGCAATGTGCTCAGAAAAATTTTCTGCCTCATCTTCCTTTGCTTCTCCTTGATTCCCGATATCAGTATCTTCTTCTGGAGCTTTTTCATTTTTAAAAGCCTCTAAATTCTCTAGGAGAACTCTGTTCTCCTCTTTCAATTTATTGTTGGTCTGCTGTGATGAGCTGAGTTCGACTTCCATTTCATCAATTTTTGTTTTATTCAGGTAAAAATCATTTTGTAAAGCAATAATTTGATCAGATTGCTCAGTAAATTTATCAACAGTTATTTCTTTATCCTCAAACGGCTTTAGTTTGTTCTCAAGATCATTTGATCTTTGCTCACATTCTTTAAGTTTTACGGATAGATCATTAATAGTTTGTTCGAAGTTATCCTTAGCTGAATTTAGTGTGTATCTAGATAAATTAATTTAACTTTGACTCTTCAAGAACCCCATCTTCTTCACCAAAACCAGAGAAAACAATTACAAAAATAAAATAAAAACTTCTTTCTAAACTTACTCTTCAGCTACTCCAATCACCTCCACGTCTTGTTTATTCTCGAGTAGTCTAACCTGATCCTCCAACTTTGTATTCTCTTTCTCAATCTCTTTCATTTTCTTCTCAAACTCCTCTTGCTGATCCTTCATGGTCTGGCTCTCTTCCTTCAAATCGCCCATTAGTTCAATTTCTTGTTTAAGCTTTACTATATTTTGCTTAGCTTGCTTCAGTTCGTATTTAACAACATCTTTCTGTTTCTCTGCTTCTTTAGCTTTTCTGTTAAGTTCGACTATTCTGGAAACAGAATAGTCGTTGGTTTTGTATTCTGAAAGCTGGGATTCAGGGTCTTGTAGCTGGGAATTGAGAGATTCGTTCTTGGATTGGAGGGTGGAGAGGTATTCATTATCTTCTTTCATTCTAGCCAACTCACTTTGCATAGCCTCAATAGAATCCCTAAAACAATTATAAATCATTCAAAACTAAAATAAATTTCCAAAATCCTCTTTCTTTACTAATTTCCTAAACACATCTAAAACTTCAAAAACAGGCACATTTCTAAAATCCAAAGTCTTCGGAAACTCTACATTTCATAGCTTAACAAGTTTGTTCTAACAAAGAGAATTTCTCAAATTTTAGAAGGCCTTTGTAGCTGAAATTGGACATCTGAGTTGTATACGATTTTAAGGATGTGGATTATGAGTACCTTTGTGGGACAATCTTAATTTTGATGCGGTTGATTTATGGGGTTTTGTAGTTAAATTTTAATATAAGGTGCCTTTATATTTTATATTACCAAATCTCTCTTCTTGTGAAAGTTTTAGACTAGGGTAAAGTACATTCGTTTCTAAATAACTCGCCGAAGATGAAAGAAGCCATTAATCTGCTTTTAATAGATGATGAATACACGATGACATATAATAGTAATAAAATAGCTTTAAGAAGAGAAGAGTAAACAGAAATAAGAATTTTCAATACCAAAAAGTGAATAAATAAAATCAATATGTTCTTTTTATTAATAAAAATTTAAGTCAGAAATAAACATACAATTTAAAAAATTTTGATAGACTTCTTACTAACATTCCTAATTTATAATAATTTTTATTTGTAAAAATAATGATTTCACATTCTTAAATATGTTTCTATAGGATCTTATCCCATTATTAAAAATAGAGAAAGAACTCCAATTATTAAAGATATTTTCTTAATTTTGAATATTTCATAGAGAAGCCAAGAATATAAACTTAAGCAAGGATAGATTTCGCTATTGTTTCAGAATAATCAAAACGATACTAAAAGGTCAAATTAAAATATCAGGTTTAATCTAAAGTCCTAAAAGTAGCTCTTGTTATAAAGCATAATTATTTCACTTACTCCGAAGCCATCTTTTGGTTACTAAGCTCTTTAACTGCAGCTTCTAAAGCCTTAAGATTATTCTCCATATCCTTGTTTTCTAAGTGTAGCTTTTCATTATCTTGCTTCAGCTGCACTATTACTTTTTCTTTGCTTTCAACTTGTTCTTCAAGATTCTTAATAATTTGTTCGTCTTTACTCTTTAATTCTTCTAATTCTTCTTCAAGTTTTATGCATTTCTTCTGCTCACTGTTAAATCAAGTTTTTATTAAAGATTGGTTTTCTAATTCCTGACAACTTTTCTGAAATGCTTCTTCAAGCTTGGTTATTTTGTTGTTTTGCTCTTGCATTATTTTACAAACATTAATGATTTCAGTGTCAAACTCCTTGGTAAGTTCAGCAAGTTTTGAGGAATCATTTGAATCTCCATTACAGTACATTTTGAAAATCCTTTCAATCTCTTCAAGAATTTTTGCAGCCTTATTGTGATTTGGATTGTCTAGAAGAATATGATTAAGCTTGGAAAATTTTATTTTATTTATGCTTTAAAGAAATAATGAAAAGGCTCAATCAAACTAATTTAAGGTAAAATTCAAAAAAAAATAGCTACAAGCTGGTTCTTCTTTTTCTTTAAATTGCCATAAAATAGTTCTGTAAAACTAAAGATCTTTCAACATTGAGAGGCTTGACATGTGTTTAGCAAAAATTTCTCTTGGAGAAATCATTTTCAAAATTTAACAAAAATAGGTAAGTAGTCGATAGCATGGATTTAATTTTCAATCCAACTGATAATAACGGTACATAAAAGCATCCAAAATATTGCTCCTAACTGACTCAAAAATATATTTAAAAATAACAAAAACCTGAACAGACTATTCAAACCAAACCAGAGAATCAGTATGCTTACCTCTTGTTCAATGAATTTCTTTTCCTCGAGCTTTTATCGCATCAATCTCATATTTGTATTCCTCGATGTATTTTTTTATGTATTTAGGGACTTTCGAATTTTTATGCTTACTGAATCCGCTCAATTTAGGAGCACAGTCTTTGTGAAGATTTATAATTTCATATAAAGTTTCCACACGATTATTAATTTCAAACATATATTGATTCATTTTAGCTTCAGTTTCTTTTATTCCTATTTTAGATAAAAGAAAGAATTTACTTTTTTCAGTAACATTCTTAATCTGATATTTAATATCCTCCTATATTTTGGAATCAGCTTTTAATTATAAAATCTATAAATAGAAAATAACGAAAAGAAACTATTTATAAATTTTGGATACGATTAAAATTAAGAATAATTGAATCCCATCAATAAAACTTTTATTTTCAAGAATGGTGTTTACTTACTTTTGAATAGCCTTTTGTATCTCAATTAAAATACCTTCCCCAAATTCTTTTACGAATTGCATCTGATCAATAAGAAGCATTAATAGTTTTCTATATAAATGGAGTTTAGAGGAGCTAATAAAAATTTACTTGATCTTTGTTCAAGTCTTGTATTCTGGTCCCAATTTGTGTGAACACCATTCAGTACTTAATTAACTTTTCTATAAAATGCTTGAACGAAGTGTAAATAAATATCAAAAGCAAGAATTTTATCTAGATTAACTTAAAGGAAATAACATGCACATTCTTTATGATTTATCTGTATAAGGCATTTAGAGTATCTTTTGCTTAATCTAAAAAATAGCTAAAACTTTGAGGTTGAAGAGTTGGTATGGCTCGTCAGAAAAGAGCTTTAAGAATCAATAATCTTACCTATCTCTAAAGCTTTTAGAGATTTCTCTAAATCTTGCTGCTTTATTTTCCTCTCTTGATTTAGAATTTTATGATTTTTAATAAAATCACTTGGAGTATCTTTATTTCCAGGGACAAGTGTGTTTAGAATGAGTTTTTCTAAGATTTTCTTTACCTCTAAAACGTTAGTTTGGGGTTCTGATATTGATTTGATAGTATCACCCACAAGCTGGCCAAGATTTTCAATCTTTGAGATTACTACAAAGAAGAGTTTAGATTAAATTTATCTAATTATTTACTAGTATTAGTTTTTGAGAGATGTGCTGATTTTCTTATTCCAGATTCTTCTGTTTTATTTTCTTCGTGGCTACTATTCATAATGATCAAGTCCAATACTCAGAACACTTACTTAAATCCTGATCCATGGATTCCATCTTGACTTTGATCAGTAGGTTGAGAATGACTTTGGCCATAGCTACTGACAGAAGAAGGATTTCCTCGAGAATCAAAACCAGTATGTTTTATGCTATTATCTTCATCTTCCGAATCATCGCTTCCTCCTTCAAACAAATAATCATCTATATTGCAATTTTAATCAATTTCTATTCATCCTCTTCACTTGAGCAAAACAGTGAATAACTTGACACTAACTCACCTGTCGGATCTCCTTCTCCATCATCTCCTAAACTTTTTCCTTCATTTCCCTCACCACTAGGTGTCCCATACTCATTCTGTTTTATGTCCTCTTGATTAAAAGGAACTGGTTGCTCCACTTCTCCATTTCCTTCTTTAGTCTCCTCTTTATTCTGATCTCTGCTCTTATCTGAAGCTCCGACACTGCTGCTTCTAGGGTAAACTCCAGTAGTAGGGATAGGATTTTTGTCCTCTGGTGGTGAGGACCCACTCCTTCTTAAACGAGAGTGATTACCTTTGCTCTCTTCACTAGAAGACTTCACTGTGGAAGCTAGAGGAGAGACTTTGTAGTCGTGTTCTTCATCACTGATGTTATTGAGAGAGTGAGGTTTATTAGAATTCTCCTCAGACTGGCTATCTTCGGAAATTTCAATTTCGTTGTAGTCTGGGTTTTCTTCGAGTTCATCTGGAAATTCTGCAGGGTTCTTAAGGTCATACCTCTGGTTAAATTCTTTCTTCTCTTCAGGGATGGTAACATCAGCAAGCAGTTTATTGAAGCTCTTCTTCAATTCAGAATTGAATTCAGCAAACTTAGGTGCAGCAACCGGTGAAAGAGGATCTGGTATATCTGAGATTTTTTGAGGGTCTTGGTCAAGTAGAGGCTTGACATCTTGGTTAAATTTTGATTGGTTTTCTTCTAAGATCTTGTCTAAAGAGAAGTTAAGTAAGATCTTGAGAAATTAAAGGAAGAAATGGTAATAACATTAGAAGAGGATATGCTTACTGAGCCTATTGATCATGTTGCTTATTCTAGCTTGGAGTTTAGAGCAACTTTCATCAGTGCTTTTTGATAAATCTTGTGTTTTCTGAGAAAGTTGAACTTGATAATTAGACCCTATGTCAATTAAGATATGCATTTACCTTGTACTCGGTTTTTCTCAATTTCCAGCTTTTGTATCTTCTTCAGAATTTGATTGCTCTCTTCTTTCAAAGCAAGAAGCCCTGGATTGGCTTTATCAAGAGTTTCTTGTTCAATAGAGCTATATTTCTTTTCAAGTTCCTTCAAGTCTTTTTGTATGTCTGTTTCTTTTTCTTTTACAGTTTTTCTCTCTTCCATAGCTTTTTCCTTGAAGGCGTTTATCTGTTCTTCTCTCTCACTAAGATCATTAGGTAGATCCTTTGGACAAATGTCTCCAAGGCTGGCCTTTGTCTCTTCATAGACTTCCTTAACAGCATGAGATCTTGCTTCTTCATTATCCTTTAATTTCGTAAGGATTCCAATTTCAGCAGGATTTTCCAAGAGTTTCTCGATTCTGTGAAGCTGGTGAAGGGTATCACCATGCATATCTCCTCTGGAATCCGCATTGCTTGCATTTGAATGAGAATTTCCCTTACCATATCCATCAGATCCCCCCACACCCGTATGTGGAGAGTAACCATGTCTGTATTTATCCATTAAAATGAATTTTTATAAAATTCTCTATTTCTATTCTTTAAATAAAAAAAGGGGTTTTGGGGTTTTGGGGTTTTGGGG